ATTTTCACAATATTAATTATGTAACAATTAAGCACTATGCAGTGATAAGCCCTTCTCTAAGTTTAGTTTATGTATGCGGAGTCTATTATTATATGTAATAATATTCTTACATAAAATAAATAATATTACATGTAATTATATTACTACATGCAATAATATTATTACATGTAATAAATATTATTACAATTATGGTTTTAAAAAACTCTGTGCAAAAATATATGTAATAAATATAATTGTAATAATTGGCTAATTATGGTACCATACTTTATGGTCAGCTAATAAAGTAAACTTAGGGCTAGTGTTAGAGTGAAAATTGCAAGAATTTCTCTAAAAATGACCGACTGTTGTATTGATAAATAAGCTTGATTAAACTAACTTTTTAGCTAAAATATGAGAACAGCTATCATGTATAACGATTCACTTAAAAGTTTAATGTATCTACTGCAACAAACAAACAAAATTATCCTAATTTGCTAAAGAACTACCTACATTAAATTATATTCTAATATTTTTGATACACAGAAATTAATTATATTTTGCATGGCTCATTGCATTTGCCCGACGCGTTACTTGTTTTAACAATTCAATTAATTTATTCAAATTCTCATTCAATTTTTTGACCAATATCTGGATGTTTTATAGTAATTTATTTACAAAATAAATTCAATAATAATTTTTTAAAATCATTTTTTTAAATTTTCTAATTGTACTCGTTGAAACCCCTCAGGTACGATAATAAAATTACAATAATTAAATGGTAGGTTTTATTTTTATGTAATTTAACTAGGGCTTTATGAATCAGTTTTAGCATTCTCCAGGATCAAAAGTCAAATGCACCTTCTTTTAATTTCTTGATGATGTGATTTGCTGATTTGATCGCTAGGGCAATACTAGTCAATGTTGGATTTGCGGTAATTGCTGTTGGCATAAAATGAGATAAATAAAAAAAATATTTGTGACTTAATAGGTAAAATATCGAAATATGATTATTTTACTTGTTGGAATGACGCCAGTAGTTCCAAGATAAAGATTACGAAATCCGTGAACGCAAAGATTTGTGTCCACTACGGAAGTTTCTTTGTTTATGCCCATGCGTACTGTGCCCTAAATATTTGAAGAATAATTGTAAATCTGAGAGACATTATTGGACTAATAAAAAACAACTAACCGTAATATGTAGTGCTGTGCCTGGTGGCATAAATTGAGGTTCGTTACCGGGCAAGAAGCCGCCCATGCTAAGGGCAGTTTGTATCATGTCATTTAACATTTTGTGATTGGTTTTGGCATCCTTTTCAGATGTTCGAACATAAAACGTTGGTTGTGGCATTCCAAACATGTCTTTGATTTCTTTGCTAAATTCGACTCTGTTATTTAACTCTTCACTATTATTGGAAGCAGCAAAATAACGAAAGTCCAAAATCACTCTGTTATCAACATTGGCTGGTGTTTGACCATAAGAAAATGCATCTCTATGAACTTGAGCGTGCCAAGGACGTTTGTCGGTATATGGGATCCAACACTTTTGTAAAATTCAAAGGTGAAGTTAAGCATCATTATGGAATATTCATTTTTATATTCACGAAATCTATTTACCTGAGGAAGTGGGACGTCAAAGGGGATTGGAATTGGATCTTTTGGATATGCCTCTTTATGCTTTTTAACACCCTCTGACCAAGTCGGATCTTCCAGCATTTCTTTCACAATTTTTTTATTTAATACGATCTATATATTCAATGAGATTAAATATAAATTATAAATGGCTCAAAATTTTGATTACATTACCTGACAATAAGCAACAGTCTGTTCACAAAGATACTTTCCCAGAGCAGGAATTTCGATATCCCAATTGAAATTCTTAATAATAGAGTTGAAGAGTAGTTGTGGGGTAAGCACTGCCCCGGCACAAATAATGAAAACCTTAGCCTTTATGAAAACCTTATTCTTATCATGTTTGAGTAGGTTTTTGGTAATCAGTCCATCAATGATAGATGTATTATTAATTTTAGGGTGAAGAAATTGCGCAAGATGTTGGCCCTGTCAAGAAGATATTCCATTTTCTTTTATCATTAACCGAAATAAAATTACTATTATATCGACATAATAAATTCTGTAATGCTTACCATCAAAGTAAAGTTTTCGTTTTCGTAATTTTCTTTACGAAGTATATCGTAAGGACCAGTCCAAAAATTAAAGGATAGCGCATCAGGTTTATCTGCTTTTTTAAAACGGACGGCAAGGGGTAATGCCTGAGGAATATCTTCACCGTAACGTTTTTTCAGAGCTTTGAGAATAGTTGTTTGTAACATGGTGCCATTGTAAGGATCTTTTGAAATGTGAAGATAATTCTCTGCTTCTTCGTACAATTCATCCTATAAAGAAAAATAAATGTTGTTTACTTGAATAAAATAATGATATTATAAAATTTACTAACCATTTCTTCGTCAGGAATAAGATTACTAAACCGTTCACTTTCACGAAGTCTTGGCGTTGCACAAGTCCAGTGAGTACCCATGCCACCAACACTGTATGTCGCAGCTGCGGCTCGAAGATTTAATCGGTGATCTTGATCCGGGTTTTGATTCAAATGAATCGTACTTTATATTTCAAAAAATAACATAATATTAAAAAATTATCATATATAGTAGGGGGTTTCAAAGTTAACAAACAAGTGGAGCATTTTGAAATTAAATGAGAGTTCGAAACAGTTTTTCAAGATTTTAAAATCGGAAAATGAAATGGGAATGTTTGGAGATCCTATTTCATGAATCGGAAAATTTTTATAATACTTCATGAAAAAAAAATAAATAAATAAAAAGTAAACCTTTCGTTCAAATCGAAGATAAGATCAGATTGCCGGACCACTTATTTCAAAATAAATACATCATCAATTTCAATTAAAAATAAGATTTTCGCGTTTTAACTTTGAAACCCCTAGTATACTATATTGAAATTTTGCTAACCCAGTTTTCAAAATAGAAGTTTGGTCGATTGTGTCTGGATAAATGTCGATTGATGTAGGAACCGAAAGTAGGTGCAAATGACTATTAACAAGATTTGAGAACGAGTTGATATCCTTCTGAAATCGAAAGGCATTTTTGAGATGTGAGCCTGGAGGATTTGATTCACTTGCTCCTGCTTCTACCATGCCAACTTTGTAACCAGCTTCGATTAATTTTCGAGCGAAAGTGCATCCTACTGGACCAGACCCAACAATCACAGCATCAAAATATTTTATCTGTGAATCTTCATTCTTACTCAGTGTATAAACCTTATCTATAAAAACGAAAAAAATTATAGAAAGTTTGCAGAAAGTCTTTAAATTCATAGAAATATTGTGGAAAAATTTTATAAATTTTCAATTTCAACTCGACAAAATCAATTTATATAGTGGTAAGGAGATCATAAATGAAAATCAAGATTCACAAAATTATAAAATTAGATTTTGAGAAACGCTCGCAACATTTCAATAATATGCGCGAATTCTGCACTTGCATAAATAAGCGTATCTTACAAAAACTTTAATTATCATTCTCTATATCTCCTTATTTCTGTAATCACTCTGAGAATCTGCAATGTGATAGGGTAGACCGAACAATTTCCATCATTTAAAGGTAAAAATCAATAAATATGCAACATTTATGGATAACACATGAATTAGAAAGAATATATTAACCTTTATTTTTTTATAGAAATATTATAGTATCCAGCGTTATTGTTATATCCCGTTATAATGCTACGGAGGGTACGATAAAAGAAGTAGGTATTATACTAAGGGGGTAATAAAATTTAAACATTATTGATATTATTGCCAATATGCATAATTAAATTATATGTGAATTTGCGTTTAATTATTTATTATAATACCAAATACTTTACAATTTTATTTATGTTATACAGGTGTAAGTGGGGTCCCTACAACCTATAAAATTTTCATTTAATTTACCTTAAAACTCAGAAAGAGAGCATCTACGGTAATAAGCACCCCTATGTTCCGTAAATAAGCACTATCAAATAAGCTTAAAATTAATTCATTTCTCAATTGATCAATCATACAATCAGCATATCGATTTTCAAATAACTAATGAATAAGCGCCCCATTAATTAAAAAAATGGTGCTTGTTTTCTGAGTTTTACGGTAATTTTTAGCAAACAACAAGGATCATTTTAATTAATCAGAATACTTATAGTTCGATCTAATAACTTGAATAAGAATAGCTTATCATCAAGTTCGTTATAATAATTTTAAACATTTATTATCTAAAAAAAATCCCGCGCGTGCCCATCTCTAATTTCAATACGTGGCAACTAAATAATTCTGGTACAACCAACTCAATTAAATCTGCAATCACTGGAATCGCGAATAATTTTAAAAAAATTTTGCAGTAACTAAGTATAGAGACCACAATAATTCTAATACGAACTAGCTTCATCACATATGTGGCCGCTGAAGTGCTAAGTCCTGTAATAGATTTTTTTTTTTTTTTACACTATCCCATCATCGAAATCATGAAATTTCCAATACATGCTATCTCAACTACATGTTATTCTTACTGAAATAACTAGTAAGATTTTGTATCAGAATTTTTTCAGTAACACTGTAAAAATAATGATAATGTCAACTTTACTATACTGCGGTCACTGGAATAGCGAGTTTAGTGACAATATATTTTACAGTAATTGTAAAAATTATGACAATTTCAATACAAACAAGCTGAGTTTTAACCAGTGTGCCTGTTGTATTAGCAAGTAAATTCTGTAAGAGTTTTTTACAGTAAGTAACAATCACGGTAATTCTAACACCAATTAATTCGACCCTAATTGCATATTGTATTGTATATACTGCGATAGTTGTTAAACTCTGTATAAATGGATGGCGCGTAGAACCACTCATCGCACTAGTTTCTCTTTAATACAGAGATAAATAAACAATTCTACATGATAAGATTTAAATTAATGCAATGCGATTAACTTTATGATTTCCGTTGTATAAAGCCTTCAGTTCCGCATAGCTTAAGAAATCATTAAATAATACAGTAAAACCTTTATAAGTGCACGCACTTGGGACCGAGCTTTAACAGCGTGCACTTAGAGATCAATAAGAGAAAGTGCATTTATAGGGGCATGTATAGTATATATTTGGGCCAGAACTTGAGCGTGCATTTAGAAAGGTGTACACTTATAAATGGGCACTTCTGGATGTTTTACTGTATTATTTTGTCGCACATCAATGCAGAGCAAAATAAATCAAAAATCTAATCTCTGTTTGTATTATAAAATCAATAAGTCTTTGTTAACTGTTATATAATAAATAATCATTACTAAAACACGACAAAGATTAGATAAATTACCTTTTTCTCATACGGCTAATTGAATTAATGATGAACTATCTATTTCTTTATCACCATATTATTCATTCAAATTTAACCACTATCTAATCTTCCGTTTCTGGTTTCGTGCGACGACGCTGCGCAGCTATCTAGTAATAATTACAGCGCTTTTCAAATTACTGTGATCAGCATTACTTGGCATTAATGCGCATCACTACTTTTGTTGTAACTAGTTTTGATACCAGGTTCTTCAACCATTTGTTCAGCAAACAGAACAGTCAAAAGAAACAAAATAATTGCAATTTAATTGTGGTGTATCATCTGGGCCTTTGAATGGTCTAAACGGATCGAAAATAAACATTGTAAAGTGTCATTTTAATGTTGTTATTATTCTAACTATTCTTACATCAGCTTGTTTAAATTTCAGCTTTAAATTAGGCCATTAAGATTAGTTATACGTAAGCGCGACTGCATCGTACATAGTGATGTACCATTTATATGATACTCGGATTTTTTTAGCGTACAGTACGTATAAAAATTTTTTTTATACCATAATATCGGAATATTCAGCAATCGTTTCGGAATATTAGGAACTTATAAATTTTATGTCAGAGCTTATAGAATGATTGTCAAATTTTAGCGTACAGTACGTACCTACGTTGTAACGGTTAAAAATTGGTGCACCTTACCCAAAATTAGGCTGTACTGTGTGACAGGGTAAAATCGTGGCTTGAGATAAAATTTTCTTAATTCGAGTTGACGATAGTCAACAGATCGAAAAGGTTGCTAAGCAGGGATACGCCGGCGACAATCCGGTTAGATC